CTACCCAGGGCAATTAGTACAGTGTCAGTGCATTTTATTAGCACTGATCACTGTATTAGTGTCACTGTGGATCTCAGTGGCAGTTAGTCAGTTCCCCCCCCAGTATCAGAATGCCTGCCGTAGTCCCGCTATAAGTCGCTGATCACCGCCATTACTACTATATATAAAAAAATACTATATACTATTATGCCCAGTGTATTACTTCACAATGACCTGAAGATCTCTTCTTTCCTGCTGCTGGCACCACTCTGGAGACCCCTAGCCGGGATAAGAGGTGGAGTGCAGTGGGTATCATGGGACAGGAGCCGCCACTACAGAGGAGGCATCGGCTTATGTGGCTCTTGTTCCTTACTACAGATCCAGCTTTATAAGTAGCATTGCACTCTGTTTGATGCTCAGGGATGGGGGGTCCGCAAGCCCAGACCACTATCTACCAGTCACCTAGCCACGATCAACTGATAGATAGCAATCTATAGGATGCTGACCCCCGGTCTAGACTATAGTAGACTGATTTAATTCCTTTTATCTTGTGGATATATATTTCATAAAATCGACTTCAGCATTGAAAATAATGGCTCTTTTTCTGTTCTATAGATCAGTTATGGAGCTACGGACTATTCTCTAACCAACAGGCTTCTCTATCCTCATGTATTCCGGACAGTTCAGAATGACCACGTTCATTATATGGCTGTTATTAAGTTGCTGAAACATTTTAGCTGGACGTGGGTTGGAATAATTGCATCACAAGATGATGCCGGAGAAAAGATAAAGAGATATTAAAAAAGTACATGAAAAGTAACAGTATTTGTGTGGAATATACAATATCAATCGGGTCTTATATGTTTGCTAATGCCATTTATGTAGAGCGTGCTATAAAACGTGATATCTCTGTTATTAAAGAGTCTAAAGCTAAAGTATTTGTAATATGTGGATCACTTACCAGTCAGAGTGTATTTTATATGTATTTACATGATGTAAGTACTAGCTTTGAAAAAACATTTATCTTTCCTCCTCTGAGGTATTTGAGCTTTTTCTGGAGATAATCCAATATCTGCCTTTAATGGTAGCTTGGCTGTGGATTTATATACCCTTTATTCATTCCAAATAAAGAACATTTTTTTGATGGAATCGACAAGACTTTTAGCTTAACTAATTCATTTGGAGACATCTATATGTTATCAATTGCAAAGTGTATGTCTGCAAACAAAGAAAATGAAAATAGTACCATATCATGTCCACTTAACTATACTGATTGTATAATGGAAGAAATGGTTCCAAATTTATTTCCTTTTGTGCATCAAGGACTCGCTCCACGAATTTATTATGCAGTGAAAGCTATGGCTGAAGTACTGCATTATATGAACCTGATCTATAAAGGAACATTGAATACAAAACAACCTTACAGGCACAAGGTAGAGTACTCTCTTTTTTTGGTAAATATAAAATGAAAAAGCGATATGGTCAAATTTCAAATATTTAATCCCTCTACATAAAAAAGAAAAAGAAAAGTTGTTCCTGTAATAAAACAATTTTGTTGGTGATGTTGACATATTCAGAGGAGGATTGGGAATTTATAGCCAGGGGGGCAAACACCACCAATTGGCCCATTCATGGTAGGGACACTTTCAGGGACAAATCACGCTGCAATATGAACGGGTGAATAAATGTTTTTTTGCACTACTGTTTCCTTGCTCTGTCAGGCTTCCCTCTACTAAGTCACCGGTCACACCACTGCGATTTAAAATTGTGAGATTTGTGTGCAATTTCAGGTGCAATTTCTGAAGACTTTATGGCTACTTGTGAAGATTTTCAATGATTTCTTGCAATTTGCAGTGCAATTTACATTATATTCTATGTATGTGAAATCGCAACAAATCTGCAGAAAAAGTAATGCAAGAACTATAGAAATTGCGCTGAAGCAAATCGGACATGTTAAGACACTGACATTCACATTCATTAGATGAAATTTCAGGTGTGATTTCAATTCACATTAGGTTCAATTAAAATCGCACCGGTATGATTGGGCACTAACATGTTTTTTCAGCTACACCCTATACATATACACTATATTGCCAAAAGTACTTGGACACCCCTCCAAATCATTGGATCAGGTGTTGCAATCCCCTCCATGGATGCAGGTGTATAAAATCAAGCCCATAGGCATGCAGACTGCATTTACAATCATTGGTGAAAGAATGGGTCGCTCTCAAGAGCTCAGTTAATTCAAGCGTGGTACCATGATAAGTTGCCCCCTATACATTAAGTCCATCCGTGAAATTGCCTTGCTACTAAATATTCCATGGCCAATGCTTAGTGGTATTATAACAAAGTGGAAGCAACTGGGAACAGCAACTCTCATGTAAAATGAGAGAGCGGGGGGCATGACTTGGGGCGCATGGAGCTGTAGGGATCAGGGGTGTTCCAGAGTCCATAGAATCTAAGGACTTAGTCGCAGTTACTGCCATCTTCAACCAGTTACTGCAACAGCCTAAAGATGCATATATTGAGCTGGACTGCGTACACCGCACTCTGGGCCACAGGAATCCTGACCCCTCTTTTGTTCATGATATTCTATGCAGGGTTCCCTATTTCAAGGTCAAGGATGCCATTATGCGTGCAGCCAGCACACAAGATACCATCTTGTTTAACGAGATACCAGTGATGTTCCTCCCTGACATTTCCCACTCACTCAGCTGTTACAGGATTGACACATTAGATACCAATGGCGGTTCCTCTTTCAACTCAGTGCCTCCCAGAATGGTAAATCTGTGCAGTTCCGCACTCTTGGGGACTTGCCCACCTTCCTCGGCACTTTTGAACTGCCTCAAGTGGCTTTTCTGGACTGGCCCTTTCATCCGCCAACTCCAGGTCTTCCTTTTGCCCCACAATGGCAGTGGTCCAGCAGGAAGAAGCTCTCCAGATTCTCTTCTCAGAAGATTCCAGATGGTTGACTTCCAAGCTGCTATACATTGGGAGGTTTTCCTTTTTCTATTTGTGTTTGCATTTGACTGCATGGCCTCCACCCCTACTAGGTGGTTTCCGAAGTTCTGTTGGTTCCATGCTCTTAAATAACTACATTAATGTTATTTTCTCTTGAATTGTAATTGTTACATGTGTTTTTTTTTGTTATCCATTCCTTGTGTGTTTTGGTTTGGGGTTAGCTCCCGAGTACTACCACCTGTGTTTTTGGGGGGAATGGTAGGGGGCTCCTTCAAATCCTTCCTGTGAAGGTTTTGCGCCCCACCTTTCTTTTTGTGGGGTAAGCTCTCCCACTGCTCGCGGGCTCATGCTTCTCTGGGGAGGAGGATAGCTTGTTTTCCTCCATTTACCTCCTGAGGGTATGTTATACACATTTTTCATGAAGGGGTTGCTCTTTAACTTGAGTAGCTTCCTTCTTGGTATCTGTTTCCCTGTGGGAGGCCTGGACCAGGACCTGCTCAATGTGCCTTTGACATTCCCCACCTAGGCATTTGTTTCCCTCGCCCTTTATTCCCTATGGTGGGTAGGACCCCAATTAGTTTCTCCTCTGTCAACTGCAGAGGATTTAATAAGCCAGAGAAGCAGAGCCAAATGCTCTATCACTTTCATGAGACTGGATCCCAAATTTTTCAGGAGACCCATTTCCATATGGACAGTATTCCGGTTCTCCAAAAGTCTCTACTACACCCAATGGTACCACAGTACTAATACACAAGCCAGGTCTAAGGGGGTGTTGGTGGCCTTCCATAATATCTTTAGTCCTGAGTTCTTGGACTCCCACATAGATCCTACCAGTCATTATATTGTTCTTAAATTGAAACATCAGGACTTTGTCTTTATAGTGGTAAATAGAGATGAGCGAAGTATTCAAAAATTCGATTCGACTGATTCGGCGAATTCGTGGAAAATATTTGATTCGAGTCGAATATATTCGCTGTGAATTTAACTTAAAAAAGGGTGTTTCTAGGCTTCAGAGAGACTTAATATTAGTGCAGAAACACTGTACCTTTAATTGAAATGCCCTTGGAGTCTGCTGGGGAAGAGAAATAATACTGTCAGTGGAGTATGACATGCAGATGAGTGCCGTCGATCTTAGAATCACCGCACACTTCACTCATTTGGGCAGTCACGGGGCCAAAACCAGTGTTTGGAGCCACAGTGTGGCGGTGGAGGCAGCAGCAATGGGAGGCCATACAGCAACCTATGGCAAAATGGAAACCAGCAGGAGTGTGAGGAGACCTGAAAGTGGCACATGGCAGAGTGGGAGCAATGGGAGGCGGTACAGGGACCCATGTCACACTGTGGACCCCAGCAGCAGCGTGACAAGGTGGTACGGGGGGCCCATGGCAGATTTGGGGCCTGGCAGCACCTATAGGAGGCCTGTAATCTGCCAGCAACCTATGACAAAATGGAAACCAGCAGGAGTGTGAGGAGACCTGAAAGTGGCACATGGCAGAGTGGCAGCAATGGGAGGCGGTACAGGGACCCATGTCACACTGTGGACCCAGCAGCAGCGTGACCAGGCGGTACCGGGGCCCATGGCAGATTACAGGCCTGGCAGCAGCAATGGGAGGCCCGTAATCTGCCAGCACCCTATGACAAAAAATTGAACACACCAGCAGTGTGTGAGGAGACCTGAAAGTGGCACATGGCAGAGTGTGGCGATGGAGACAGCAGCAATGGGAGGCCCTACAGGGACCCATGAGAGACTGTGGACCTGGCAGCAGCATGAGGAGGCGGTATAGGGGCCCATGGCAGATTAGGGGCCTGGCAGCAGCTATGGGAGGCCCGTAATCTGCCAGCACCCTATGTCAAAAAATTCAACACACCAGCAGTGTGAGGAGACCTGAAAGTGGCACATGGCAGAGTGTGGCGATGGAGACAGCAGCAATGGGAGGCCGTACAGGGACCCATGAAAGACTCTGGACTTGCCAGCAGCATGAGGAGGCGGTATAGGGGCCCATGGCAGATTAGGGGCCTGGCAGCAGCTATGGGAGGCCCGTAATCTGCCAGCACCCTATGTCAAAAAATTGAACACACCAGCAGTGTGAGGAGACCTGAAAGTGGCACATGGCAGAGTGTGGCGATGGAGACAGCAGCAATGGGAGGCCGTACAGGGACCCATGAGAGACTCTGGACTTGGCAGCAGCATGAGGAGGCGGTATATAGGGGCCCATGGCAGATTAGGGGCCTGGCAGCAGCTATGGGAGGCCCATAATCTGCCAGCACCCTATGACAAAAAATGGAACACACCAGCAGTGTGAGGAGACCTGAAAGTGGCACATGTTTGGGGCATGATTCATGGCGGATTTAGTCAGTTGTGTAAGGAACTAGTGGTTTGAAATCCAGACTAATCCACGCCTGATTCATTTTCACAACCGTGCGTCTCTCCACACTTTGGGTGGACAGTCGTGTCCTCCGCGGAGTTGCAATACCTCCTGCCGCACTAAACACGTGCTCCGATGCCACGCTACTGGCCGGGCATGACAGCCTTTCAAGGGCAAATTCAGCTAGTTGGGGCCAAAGGTCAAGTTTCATTGCCCAGTAGTCAAGGGGATTGTCTACATCGGTTGGCAGGGTGCTGTCCAAGTAGGCCCAAGCCTGTTGTTTGAGGTCCTGCTCCAGGTCCACCTGATGCTGCTGCTGCTGGTTAGTAGTTTCCTCACTGCGCTGGTGAAGAAAGCTACTCATCATCGACTGCAGACTGAGGCAGCCGCTGCTGGTGGAGCTGCCACTGCTCCTACCACCCCTCCCCTGCTGCCATGGCAGCGGAACGCGAGCGCACAGGGCCCACAGTGTCTGAGGATGGACGTTGGTGCACAAAGGCAGAGACCAACTGACTACATAGGTGGTTTTTATAGTACGTTATTTTGGCCTCCCTCTCAGCTGGTGTGAAAAAGGCCAAAATTTTGGAACGGTAGCGAGGGTCCAACAAGGTGGACAGCCAAAAGTCATCCCTCTGTCTGATGGTTATTATTCGGCTGTCGCTACGCAAGCAACCGAGCATGCTATGGGCCATTTGTGCCAAGGAATGCGAGGGACTCCCTGCCTCCATCTCCACAGCATACTGCCACGGTGCGTCTGGGTCCTCTGTCTCCTCCTCCTCCTCCTCTACCAGATGCTCCTGCTCCTCCACTCCTGTCCGCTGAGTGGAAAAACCACCCATTTCACTCAATAATTCCTGAGCACCAATGTCCTCCTCTACCTCCTCCTCTTCTTCCTGTCCTGCCCCCACAGGGGTCATGTGGCGTTGAGATCTGTGCGCCACGTCTACCGCACCCGGACCAGCCATTGTTAACAGCATTTGTTCAAGGACGTGCAACAGAGGAATGACGTCGTTCATCCCATAGTCCTGCCGACTCACGAATAGCGTGGCCTCCTCAAAGGGCCTGAGCAAGCGGCAGGTGTCACGCATGAGCTGCCAATGGCTGACATCGAAGTTACACAGGGGAGTACCTTTATCCGCTTTTAACATCAGGAAATCGGTGATGGCCTTTCGCTGTTCGTAAAGGCGGTCTAACATGTGTAGGGTTGAATTCCACCGTGTTGCAACGTCGCAGATCAGGCGATGCTGTGAAATTCCTTTCTGCCGCTGCAGCTCAAGGAGGGTGTGCTTTGCGGTGTAGGAATGGCTGAAATGCATGCAAAGTTTACGTGACATTTTAAGGATGTCTTGCTGTGGGATGGTGGGATTTTAGGAACCGCTTGACAACCAGATTGAACACGTGAGCTGCATGCTATGGCGCATGGCACAACCTTCCTTGACGCAGGAGCAGACACCATGTTCTTTCCGTTGTCGGTCAACATGGTTCCGATTTTCAGTTTGCCGCGGAGGTCAGCCATCTGCTCGATTTCTCTGTTCATTTACACTGAGAAGTTCCTCCCCTGTGTGGACTACGTTCGCGGACCTGGCCAGCAGCATGAGGAGGCGGTATATAGGGGCCTGTTCTTAGGGGGGGCCTGATTTGGAGGCCCGTAATCTGCCAGCACCCTCAATTAAATACAACTGAGGAGCACCTTGAAAGTGGCACATGCCATGTGGCGACTGGACTGACAAGCAGCAATGTACAGGGAACGCGATGGAGGGACCTGGACGTGCGCAGCAGCATGAGGAGGCGGTATATAGGGGCCCATGGCAGATTAGGGGCCTGGCAGCAGCTATAGGAGGCCCGTAATCTGCCAGCACCCTATGTCAAAAAATTCAACACACCAGCAGTGTGTGAGGAGACCTGAAAGTGGCACATGGCAGAGTGTGGCGATACAGCAGCAATGGGAGGCCGTACAGGGACATGAGAGGACTCTGGACCTGGCAGCAGCCCCCATGAGGAGGGCGTTATATCAGGGGCCCATGGCAGATTAGGGGCCTGGCAGCAGCTATGGGAGGGCCCGTAATCTGCCAGCCCTATGTCCCAACGACACCAGCCAGTGTGAGAGTAAGACTGAAAGTGGCACATGGCAGAGTGTGGCGGATGGAGACAGCAGCAATGGGAGGCCCGTTACAGGGACCACATGAGAGACTCTGGACTTGGCAGCAGCATGAGGGAGGACGGTGTGGCCCATGGCAGATTAGGGGCCTAGCCGGGCTGCAGCTATAGGGAGGGCCCCCGTAATCTGCGGAGCACCCTATGTCAAAAATATTCAACACACACCTGAGTGTTCGTGAGGAGACCTGAAAGTGGCACATGGCAGAGTTGTGCGATGGAGACTGCATAGCAATGGGAGGCCGTACAGGGACCCATGAGAGACTCTGGACCTGGCTGCAGCCGCATGAGCGAGGGCGGTTATATAGGGGCCTAGTGGCAGATTAGGGGCCTGGCAGCAGCTATGGGAGGCCCGTTAATGCCAGCACCCTATGAAAAAAATTTCAACACACACCAGCAGTGTGTGGAGGTGACCTGAACGTGGCACCATTGGCAGAGTGTGGCGATGGGAGGACAGCAGCAATGGGAGGCCGTTTTTTATAGGGGATCCCATGCGTGAGAGACTCTGGACCTGGCAGCAGCATGAATGCGGACAGGCGGTATATAGGGGGGCCATTGGCAGATTAGGGGCCTGTGGCTGCAGCTATAGGAGGCCCGTAATCTGCCCAGCACCCTATGTCAAAAAATTCAACACACCCCAGGTGTGTGAGGAGACCTGAAAGTGGCACATGAGCAGTGTGTGTTGCGCGATGGAGACAGCCAGCTAATGGGAGGCCGTACAGGGACCCAATGAGCAGATTGGGACCTGGGCAGCAGCTGAGCACGGGACCGCGTCATAGGGGCATATAGGGGCCCATGGCCAAGCTATTAGGGGTGCCTGGGCCAGCAGCTATAGGAGGCCGTACCGTAATTCTGCAAGCACCCTATGGCAAAAAAATTCAACACAACCACCAGTGTGTGATGAGGACCTGAAAGTGGCACATGGCAGAGTGTGGCGAAGGAGGGACAGCAGCAATGGGAGTGCCGCTACAGGGACCCATAAGAGACTCTGACTTGGCTGAGGACGGCGGTATATAGGGGGCCCATGGCAGCATTTAGGGGCCCTGGCAGCAGCTATAGGAGGGCCCATATATCTGCCAGCACCCTATGGTCAAAAAATTCAAACACACCAGCAGATGTGAGGAAGTCTGAAGAGTGCACATGGCAGGAGTGGTGGCGATGGAGACAGCAGCAATGGGAGGCCGTACCATGGCAGACAGCTTGGTGTGTATATAGTGGTGCTATGGCAGATGGGGCCTGGCAGCAGCTGTGAGGCTCTGGAGGGCTGCAGCCCGTATCTGCCAGCACCCTATGTCAAAAAAGTTCAACACACCAGCAGTGTGTGAGGAGACCTGGAAAGTGGCACATGGCAGACAGGTGTGGCAGATGGAGAACAGCAGCATGCCGTTACAGGGGACCCATGAGAGACTCTGGAACCTTATGGCCAGACAGCATGAGGAGGCGGTTATATAGGGGCCCATGGGCAGATTAGGGGCCTGGCAGCAGGCTTTAGGAGGCCCGTAATCTGCCGCAAGAACCCTATGTCAAAAAATTCAACAACAACCAGCAGTGTGTGAAGGAGACCCCATGAAAGTGGCACTGGCAGAGTGTGGGCGATGGGGAGACAGCAGCAATGGGAGGGCCGTATCGAGGACCCATGAGATGACTCTGGACCTGGCAAGCTGCATGAGGAGGCGGTCTATTCTTATTATAGGGGCCCATGGCAGATTAGGGGACCTAGGCAGCAAGCTATAGGAGGACCAGTAATCTCCAGACCACCCTATGTCAAAAATTCAACACACCCAGCATGTGTGTGAGCGAGACCTGAAAGTGGCACATGGGCAGAGTTGTGGCGATTGGAGAAGCAGCAATGGCAGGCCCGTACAGGGACCCTTGAGAGACTTGGACAACGGCTGCAGCAATGAGGAGGCGGGTATGGTATTAGGGGCCCATGGAGCAGATTTAGGGGCCTGGCAAGCAGCTGATAGGAGGCCCGTAAATCTGCTCAGCACCAATATTGTCATGAATACTTTCAAAGTAACCAGCTGTGTGTGAGGAGACCTGAAAGTGGCACATGTTTGGGGGCATGATTCATGGCGGATTTAGGTCAGTTGTCTGTCAGATACTCTCCCGCAACCCCCCCGGTGGTTTGAAATTCCAGGACTAATCACACCTGATTCATTTTCACAAACGGTGTGCTTCCACACTGTGGCGGTGGACAGTCGTGTCCTCTGCGGAGTTACATATACCTCCTTGCAGCTCTTAGCATCTGAAACATTTCTCGCCGAAAAAAAAAAAAAAATCCCTGAATTTAATATTATTTTTATTTACTATTATATACCTATCATAAAAAAAAACACGCGCTCCGATTGCCACGCTCTGGCGGGCCATGACAGCCTTTTCAAGGCCAAATTCCAGCTAGTTGGCGGCCAACACAGGTCAAGTTTTCGTTGACCCAGTAGTCAAAGGGAATTGTCTACCTCGGGGTTGGCAGGGTGACTGTCCAAGTAGGCCCAAGGCTGTTGTGTTGAGGTCCTCCTGCTCCAGGTCCACCTGATGGCTGCTGCTGCTTTGCGGCTGGTTAGTAGTTTCATTCACTGCGCTGGTGAAGAAAGCTACTCATCATCGACTGCAGACCTGAGGCAGCCGCTGCTGGTGGGAGCTGCCGCACTGGCTCCTTCCACCCCACCCCTCCCCTGCTGCCATGGCAGAGGGTAACGCGAGCGCACAGGGCCCACAGTGTCTGAGGATGGAGCGTTGGCGCACAAAGGCAGAGACCAACTGACTACATAGGTGGTTTTTATAGTAACGTTATTTTGGCCTCCTCTCAGCAGGTGTGAAAAATGGCCATCCATTTTTGAACGGTAGCGAGGGTCCTAACAAGGTGGACAGCACCAAAAGTCATCCCTCTGTCTGTTGGTTTGTTATTCGGCTGTCGCTACGCAAGCAACGAGCATGCTATGGGCCATTTGTGCCAAGGAATGCGAGGGACTCCCTGCCTCCATCTCCACAGCATACTGCCACGGTGCGTCTGGTTCATGGGTCCTCTGTCTCTCCTCCTTACTCCTCTACCAGATGCTCCTGCTCCTCCACTCCTGTCCGCCTGAGTGGAAAAACCACCATTTCACTCAATAATTCCTGAGCACCAATGTCTCTCTCTACCTCCTCCTCTTCTTCCTGTCCTGCCCCCACAGGGGTCATGTGGCATTGAGATCTGTGCGCCACGTCTACGCACCCTGACCAGCCATTGTTAAACTGCATTTGTTCAGGACGGGTGCAACAGAGGAATGACGTCGTTCATCCCATTAGTCCTGCCGACTCACGAAATAGCGTGGCCTCCTCAAAGGGCCTGAGCAAGCGGCAGGTGTCACGCATGAGCTGCCAATGGCTGACATCGAAGTTACACAGGGGATAGGCTGTTTGTACCTTTATCCGCTTGTAAGATCAGGAAATCGGTGATGGCCTTTCGCTGCTCGTTAAAGGCGGTCTAACATGTGTAGGGTTGAATTCCACCTTGTTGCAACGTCGCAGATCAGGCGATGATGTGGAATTCCTTTCTGCCGCTGCAGCTCAAGGAGGGTGTGCTTTGCGGTGTAGGAATGGCTGAAATGCATGCAAAGTTTTACGTGACATTTTAAGGATGTCTTGCAGTGGGATTGGTGGATTTTAGGAAAAACCGCTTGACAACCAGATTGAACACGTGAGCCATGCATTGGCGCATGGCACAACCTTCCTTGACGCAGAGCAGGACACCATGTTCTTTCCGTTGTCGGTCAACATGGTTCCGATTTTCAGTTTGCGCGGAGACAGCCATCTGTCGATTTCTTTGTTCATTACACTGAGAAGTTCCTCCCCTGTGTGACTACGTTCGCCAAGGCATACCAGGTGCAGAACAGCGTGACACCGTTGCGCCCTGCACATGTGATATGCCGGTCCGGGTAATGGGACTTGGCACGGGGTGTGGGGGTTCCGGTGGCGGACTGAGGACACGGCGGAAGAAGAGTTAGGTTTGTAGAGGCGGACATACTTTTGTGGACCTAAGGACGTGCAAACGTGGAGGCAAAAAGCGGCGTGACCTGTCCAAGTGCTGGTGCGGCTGTGACGGCACCACGTTCACCCAGTGGGCCGTAAAATTGACATGTACTGTCCCTGGACCGTAGTTACAGCTCCACACGTCGGCGCTGCCGTGCACTTTGGCAGAGGACCGACATGCTCAAAGACTGGCCCCACCATGTCTTCTACATGTGAATGCAGGGCTGGCACTGCCTTTTTGGCGAAGAAATGACGGCTTGGCACTCTCCACCGTGGTTTTAGTCCCAACATGGCCCCCCTGGCCTCGCTTTGACTTTCTGGCCACATAGTCGACATTACGGCTACGTTTACTTCCTCGGGCGGCGTCTTGACGAAAAAATTGCCACACCGCCGAGTAGGAAACTTTGCCCCCGATACTCCTCACTGGCTGACTGCTGCTTCTCCGTGCACACCGGCACCACTTACTGGCCGTGGTGGTAGGCTGCAGTGGAGCTGGTGCTCTACTCCGTGGCCGTTTGGCTCCACTGACACTGCTGCGACCCCTGCTGCTGTCTCCTGGGCAACCCACCGACTGTTTCGCTCACTGCCAAGCTGCCACCCTCTTCTCCTGATGACTGCGGAAGAAATTGCCTGATGACGACGAGGCTGCCTAGTTCGATCAACCTCCTCTCATCAAGTAGGGTCTCCGCCTCACTACTAGCCCCCTCGGTCTGCATCTGGGTCAGGAGACAGACCTGTCTCTAAGACCGGCTACCGGGCCACTCTCCTCGCCACTACTTCTTCGCCTGGCTGCTGAAAAGGCGGATAGTCTCCCTCCGTTCCTGACCGCCCTCTGTTAGCTCTTCCTCACTGTACAGTGGGGCTGAGCCCACAGCATGCGATACTTCGCTTGGTGAGGGAACACCAAAAGACAGGGGCAGGTATGAGGACATGTGATTTCAGTGGGCTAGGTGGGCCCGGGCCATGCCAACTACGGTTGTGTCTGACGTTACCCACCGACCGTTGGCTGTTAGGTGTCAGAGGTGACCTGGGAAGAGGAAGACGACCGAGCCAACCAATCGATGACGGGGCAGGGTTGTCGGTGGAGACACGACCGCTGGATGACACCGGGAGCACTGGCCTCTGGCTGCGAATAGTGCTGCCTTGACCCACTTCCTCTGCTGCCACCGTCTGCTCGCTCCTTAAAACATTGCCCTTCCTCGCTGCCACTCCTCTGCATGTTGTCTGGACATACTCTTTAATTCAACGATTCTGTGTCCCTGAGTAACAATTCTGTGTCCCTGAGTAACAATTCTGTGTCTGTCCCTGAGTAACATTTCTGTGGCCCTAAGTAAACGGTTCTGTGTCCCTCAGTAAACAATTCTGTGTCCCTCAGTAACAATTCTGTGTCTGTCACCTGGAGTAACAATTATGTGGCCCTAAGTAACGTTTCTGTGGCCCTCAGTAAACAATTCTGTGTCCCCGACTGATTACGACGTTTATGTGGCCCTAAGTAACGGTTCTGTGGCCCTCAGTAAC